TGCAAAGTGCTTTGCATGTTATTATCTGATTTGGTCCTAACAACAACCACATCTCCCCTACCACCCAACTGAGTGTTCTGCACCCTGTGAGTACTTAAAAATATTTGTAGAATTGGATCAAATACATTCATTAACCTAATTTCTACTCTATTAATTGGAGTCTTGGGTGAAATAAGCTCTGAAAAGGGCAACTGTCTTTAGGCTTATAAAAGTGTGGTAAAACAGTGGTATTTATGTTAATAATATCTTATTAAAATGAAAACAGTATGTTATAGATAACAATTTTTTTCATGGGAAATAATATGAATGATCCTTTTGATTGCCTGGTTTAAAATGTAACATTATTTGGAGATATTTTTGGTATCATGGAGAAAGCTTTGGGATCAAAGTTGTAACTAAGAGTTTTTACAACTAGGGAATTCACACACACACACACACACACACACACACAAACTGTGTCAAGGGAAGATAGCATGAAAGGCACCCTTAAATGTGGCTGGGGTTGGAGAACTGAGGGAAGGACACCACTGTGTGGGGAGAGACAATGACTCCAGCACTCTACAATGCCCAATGCTCCCCCCAGATAATTTGGTAGCTTCTTCTTTAAATGGACTCTAATTTCAAGTTTCTTTGTACTTGGCATCTAAGAATTCAGATGACTCTGATGTAACAAGAATCCCTGGGCCTTAGAGGTTGGAGATATCTACAGGGAGTGAAACATTTTTCCATTTTCTGTGGGGTGCCTATGAGGCTTGAGATTTCTTAAATGACTTTATTCCTAAGGACAGTCCACTATCCTTTTATACTCGTCCTCCTTTCTACTGCCCAGCCTCTGAGCCTCAGGAAAGTGTGGGACATTTGGATGGCAAAATTTTTGGGGAAAGAAAGGTCAAAGATGGGGAGGCAAAAGTGTCCCCAATGTGGAAGAACCTTCCAACAGGAGCTGAGGTACCATCTGTCTTCCTCTGATTTCGGATCCCTCAGGGTGCACAGCTAGATGTCTTACAAAGGGTCAATTGCTGTGCATACTGAAGGGAGGGAATGGTTCTCTGGGCTTTCCTCTCCACCACTAGAAGCCAGAGTTTGAGTTCGGTGAATCTCTGCTGCCCAAGAAACTCTGGAACACAATCAAGTTGTTTCTCTAATGGGAGCTTCCAACTTCACTCAAACCATTTTGAAATTACTTACCCATCTATTCTGTATGTATCTTGTTTCTAACTAGTTATTTTCACTTTGTTTCCCTTGTTGGAATAAATGTTTCTTAAGGGAAAGGGTTGTTGTTTTGCCTCTCTCAGTATTCTTAGCCTTTAATACAATGCTTGAGAAGGAGTGCTTAATACAAGTGTATTAATTAATATTTTTTATTCATTACAGAGTGATAATGTTCCATTATTCATGTACCACACAATTAGTTAAGCCAATCCCCCATAAGCACCCACTTTATTTTTAGTTCTTTGTGACAATAAAATGTATTGATATAACTTTTTTTGTATAGAAGAGTTCTGTCCCTATATCCTTGACCATTTGTGAATATGGACCTAATAGTGATATTGTTGGGCCAGACTGTGTGTATAGACTCTTTCCAGTCCAGTTTGTATTCCCATGGTGCAGTATCACCATGGCTATGTGGCATCAGGCAAATCATCTAACCTCTCTGAGCTTTACTTTAGCTGTGAAACTGAGGGAGTTGGACTGAATTATTTGTAAGGTCCTTTTCACCTCTAAAATTCTATGGAATCCTGAGTGTTTCATGGTAAAATTCAGGTGGGTGCTTATGAAAGACCAAGGAGAGAGAGAGTCACCTATTTGCAGCTGAAAGCAAGAAATGGTATCTTTAGTCTGAAGAGTACATCTCTCAGTTGACTTAAGTGATCTTAAGATTTCTTCTATGAATTTATGCTAAGTAAACTATATAGTCTGTTATTTTCACCACTTTAAATGTACCTCACTTTCATTTATTCCGTTCTACAGGGGTGTTCTTAGGCTTTTTTTAAACTACTTCATTGTTTCTTTATATTGTATCCCTTACAATGCAACATTGAATGATAGAATGTCTTGTTCCATTGTTCACTATTGCTTTTTTGTTTTTTCATTTTCTCTCTTCAATTTAATCATGAACTAGTCAATGTGATACATTATGTAGGTGAGTGGTTGGCCATAGAATTGAAAGATCTGATCAGTGTTTAATATTGACTCTGGAGGAAAGAGATTCCAATCTCTCCTTTGACATTTACTACCTGTATGACCTTGGAGAGGTCACCCTCCTTCTTGGCTTCAGTTTTGTTATATGTGAAATGAAGGGATTGGATTAGATGGTCTTGAGATTCCTTCCAACTCTAAATTTATTATCTTATGAAATTAAAAAGCAAACAGATTTCTTAGTGCACATACACCTTCTGCAAAGTTGATGCCGAATTCCACATTAGGAGTTCATAGCTCCTTTCCTCTCTATACCCCGCCCCCCAAACAACAACAGCCAAAACCTAGACAAACTCCGTGAGGCGTACATTATATTCCTCTCCACCTATATAGAATAGTAGATCATCAACCTGTTAGTTGATTCATTAAAGACAAGTAAATTAATTTGAATATGCAGAGACTCTAATCTTTCTTTTTCCCCATCTTCCTTTGATATATTAATGTCTGTGCCTGCTAGGTTTTTTCTTTTCGATAATTGCATTATTAATGTTATTATTATTAATAATAAGAACAATAATAACAATCTTAAGAATATGTCAGTGGTCTGTGGTTTTTGTCATCATGGGAGTTCTCTCCATCAACACAGATTATAGCTCTTCTCTGAAATGTTTGAGAATTACTTGAGGCTCAGGGAGCGGAAGTAAGATAATCCAGGTAGTAAATATTATAGGTGAGATTTGAACCTCTTTCCTCTGACTCCAGAGTCAGTACTTTTCTTCCAGTACTTACACTGCTTGGGTCTTTCTGACTGCATGGCCAACTGTTGATCTCCAGTGATACCAAACAAATGGAAATGGGGGACACTGATTCATACATAAGGATACCTGCAACCACATATTGACTTAGTTTTAAAATGCAGTGTCATCTGTGTTTTATAGTGCTTTTATTTATTTTGTTAAATATTTCCAAATTACATTTTAATCTGGCTCAGCTGCACTCAGGGTATGGCAGTAGCCCGCAGGTCATGTGTTTGACACCTCTGTAATAGCTTATGGTTTAGTTACAGAGAGAAAAATCTGAGAGAGAAAGAGAAACAGAAAGAAAAAAGAGAGAAAGCAATAGGAAACAATGGTATAAGACAACATTAAATGAAGTGTTTCATTGTGAAGTATACAATATAGATAAATGTCAAGGTAGTGAAAAGGCTTAGAATACAACTGAAGGACAGAATAAGTGGAAGTTACACTAAGTACAGCTAAGGCATTTCAGAGGCCAGATATGAGACTAGAACTTTTGGATTATATGTCTACCATTCTATCCCTCTGTATAAACTTAGTAACCATAAATAAAATCAAACATAGGCAATAAAGGTTAGTATCTTTCATGAAAATGCTGGTATTTAATAGGGCAGAATCAAATGAATGTACAAACAAAAAACAAGTCAATAAAATTTTTTCATTTTTTTTTGCTTCTCTCCCTCTCCCCCGATTTGTAAATTTCTCTGAAAAACTCAGAGAACTCTTTTAAACCAACGGAAAGGGTCAAAATCAGATAACAAAGCAAAAATCAGTACAATCTGTGGTTCTGTGCTGAACTGGGAGAGTATTTCTGGTGCAAGTTTGAGGTCTGACTTCTAGTCACTACATGTTCAGTTTGTCTGTTTGAGGAGACTGCATGTCCTGAAAAGAACCCTGGCCTTGCAAGACAGGTCAACGTGGCTTTGCTACTAATTGACAGTTTGCCTTTGGGCAAATCTTATAAACTCTCTGAGCCTCAGTTTATTTGTCTGTAAAAGGAGGGGACTGGAATAAAGTAATCTAAAAACTTTAAAAAGGCTCTTTCAATTATAGAATTCTATAATTCTGGGAATTTCTCACTGTGTTAACAAAATGACCATTGAGAGCCAAGTTTCATATTGAGGTCTTATAGAGTCTTGGAGCACGTGGTTTTCTCACTGAAGAATAATTAATATTAAATAGTACAGATCTATAGGGTCTTATATTTAAGCATTTGGATTCATAAAATCTTTTATCCTTTAGATTTAGAGTTGAGGTAATGTGGTGCTGTGGAAATGACATTATACTACAAACAAGTAACTCAGGTTATATATATCTGGCTTTTGTACATATTGACCAAAGGCCTTTAGACAATTCTCAACTTCTCTGAGCTTTAGGGTTATTGTCTCTATGAAAGGGGACAATGGTCTTGCCAGCTTTATAGTTGTAGTCATGAGATGAGGTCAGCAATGTGAATGCGTGCTGAAAACTGAAAAGAACCATATAATTCTCATCTTTAAAATAGCTAGAGATCAGTTAGGAGACTGTTCCAAGTGTGTAGGCAAGAAGCTATGAGTGCCTACATTAAGGTGGTTGTGGTGTCAGTGACAAGAGAACAGAGGGGGTGGATACAGGAAATATTTAAGGGCCAAATCAGCAGGACTCGGCAGTTGATTGGGTGTGGAAAGTGATAAGGAAGACAGAATCAAAGATGATGCCAATAATTAAAGCCTGAGTAACTCATAGATGGTGCCACCAACAGAAAGAGGGAAATCTTATTGAAAATTTAAATTTATCAATTATTTGACTAAATTGAATAACGTGGTATTTTCTTTGTTTTTAAGACTTTCTAGTAGTTTTTTTCCTAATGTCAAATTAATTGCTTTCCTTTTGAATAATTTTGTTTTGGTAATAGGGCTAGGTTGTCAAAGATGCGAGGCTGCTGTTCTTTGTTAGGAATGTATGGAATTTATAAAACAAAAATTGAGCAATAGACACCAGAACAATCCTTTTTTGGTTTTCAAATGTATAGTATATTTTATGACTTTTACCTCATTTGGGCCTTGGCCATTTAATTTTCCTTAGGTGCCAGTGATTGCTGTGCTGGGTTCAGGTGGTGGATTCCGTGCCATGGTGGGATTTTCTGGTGTGATGAAAGCACTGTATGAATCAGGAATTTTGGATTGTGCCACATATGTTGCTGGTCTTTCTGGCTCTACATGGTAAGTCTGCATTTTTTAATCTTGCTATTCCCATTTTGCATTTAAATTGTTTTCATTCAGTATTCCTGTTATTTTGAAAATGTGAAACTTAGACTTTGAAATACTGAGTTGAATTTACGATGATGAAATGGTTTCTGGTAATCATGGAGAAGTTCCCTGAATAAATCTGTATCTGATAGAGCTTGCCACAAAATTTCACTTTCCTTAGCATGGCAACATTTAAAAATTATGTAAAAAATAAAAATTCTAAATTATACCAAATTTTAAAATGTTACCATCCTGAGAAAAGTGAAATTTTGTGAGAAGCCCCATCAGATATGGACTTACATGTA